GCCAGAAGTGGCGCTGTGGCTCAAGTGGTAGAGCGCTAGCCTTGAGCTGAAGAGCTGAGGGACAGCGCCCAGGCCCAGAGTTCAGGCCCCACGACCGGATCAAAATTAAAAAAAATGGCCCTGGGTTCGATTCTTCACCATCACATAAGAAAAAAGCCGGAAGTGGCACTGTGGCTCAAGTGGTAGAGCGCTAACCTTGAGCTGAAGAGCTGAGGGACAGCGCCCAGGCCCAGAGTTCAGGCCCCACTACCGGACCCAAAAAACAAACCAAAAAAAAATGGTTAGTTTTGGGGCTTGAACTCAGGGCCTCAGCGCTGTCCCTGAGGTCTTTTGCTTGTGGCTGACCCTCTACCACTTGAGTCACAGCTCCACTTCCCGTTTTCTGGTGGTTGAGTGGAGGTGAGCCTCCCCGACTTTCCCGCCTGGGCTGGCTTAGAACCGCCATCCTCAGAGCTCAGACTCGTGTCTAGGAGTTTGTGTGGCAGAACAAGGATCTGTGCCTTCAGCAAACACCCCAGGCCTGGGCGCGGCTCCCTCGGGGACAGGAGCCAGCCCGGGTTGGAGCGGGGCTCCAAGGGTGTCAGAGCTCCTCCAGGAAAGAGGAAGTGGGGCCAGGCCTGTAAGTAAGATCTGGAGCTGGAATCCCCGCCTGAGCGGGGACGCATGCTGAGTGTGGCTTCAGACCACGAGGGCCCCAGAGAGGCTTGGGTGAGCTCCAGCCCCTTGGGCGCAGACCGGACTCCTGCTCTGGTGGTTAAAGGCAGCCCTAGTGGGAACACAAAGGCCTCACAGCCTCTGCCCGGGCTCCCGTTGCCGGGAGGCTGAGGCCGGAGGATCGCAGGCCGAGGCACGGGAGGCCGGCCTGGGCCGCAGACAGACACATCCCACCAGATGGCCCCGTCTCAACCAAGAAGGGGCAAGAAAAGCAAAACAGAGGAGGCAAGTGCCGTGGCTCACGCCTGAAATGCTGTTGCTCAGGAAGCTGAGATCAGAGGGTCAAGGATGGCAGCCAGTCCGGGCTGGAAAGTCCGGGAGACTAGTTAACCACCAAAAATCCTTGAGTGGTGCTGTGGTTCAACTGATAGAGCACCAGCCTTGAGCAAAATTTGCTCAGGGACAGCTCCCAAGACCCACAACCACCGCGACAAATTTCAGGATGGTTGGGTACAGACGGACATTTGCCTCACTGGTTAGTAGAGTGGGTCACTGGTTAGCAGAGTGGGTAACGGGAAGGACAGGCACACAGGATGTTCCCAGGAGGGACACAGGTGCCAGGCTGCCACATCGCAGACGCTGTCTGCCTGGGTGGGAGGGAGGGGTCCTGTGTCCCCCTCACCCTACCTCTGTAGCTGTGGCTCTAGCCGGCAGGCGTGGGAGGGGGGCGAGGTTGGAGATATCCAGGCTGGGCACCCAAGAGGCCTGGCCAGTTAGTGTCCACCCGGCCCCCTCCAGAGCAGAGCAATGGAGGCACCCGGTCCCAGGATGGGCTTGGGTAGGATTGGTTATGGTTGCACATTTGCATAAATGGAAGGCTGCTTGGGTGGGCGTGGTCATGGATGTATAATGAGTGCATTTCCTATCCAGCATTGTTACCCCTTTTGTTTTTCCCCTACCATCCCTTCCCTCCCATCTCCTCCCATTTCCCCCCCCCCCCACACACATATATAATGTTAATAGGAGCGTCACCACTCTGCTCCTGTGTGTGCTTGCTTACAATCCTGAACTCACGGCCCGAGGCCTTCCTGGAGCTTTTCCACTGGGGCTGATTCTCTACCACTTGAGCCACAGCTCCATTTCTGATTTTTGGGTGGTTAATTGGAAATAAGGGTTTTATGGACTTAACTGCTCAGGCTTGCTTTCCATTTGAATCCTCAGATCTCAGCCTCCTGGAGCTACCAATGCCCAACTTTATTTTTTTTTTAATTTTTTTTTTGCTCAAGGCTAGCACTCATCACTTGAGCCACAGCTCCACTTCTGGCTTTTTCTGCTATGTGGTACTGAGGAATTGAACCCAGGGCTTCATACATGCTGAGCAAACACTCTACCACTAAGCCACCTTCCCAGCCTATTTTTTTTTAATTTCTTAAATGCAGATATACCAAACAGTATTATTAATTAATAGTAGTAGTATTTTGGACTTCTGGTGTTTGAATGCTGGGCCTTGAATTGGCTGGGCTCCAGCACTCAGCCATGCCCAGTCCTAGCCAGAAATTCACTGGACTGCTGTGGGATGATCATGCCTGTGACCCCAGACAGCTCCATCTCCAGAGTAAGGCTTCAGTCGGTCTCTGCAGCCTGGAGTGCCTCTACTGGGGAATGGTATTGTTTCCTGCATGGACTCCCAGGGCCCAGGGCTTAGCCTCTTCGTATGACACCTGTCTTCCCCGTTCTTCCTGCAGGTGCAGGTGCTGCTCCTCAGGGCCCTTTAATCCCAGGCCGTAAAGATTTTTATCGGGATCACAGCTTAATCACCCAGGCCATAGAGGTGTACTTTGCTCCCAGAATCTGAGGTGACTGTGGCATTTGGACAAAGCTACCTGTGAGCCTAGAAACCTCGGTACCCAGAGACCCTCAACTCCCCCCTCCATTTTCATTATTTTTCTGTATTCCCTTACTCATAGTTAACTGCTATCTCATTCTCTAAATTATAATTAAAAAGAGCACCATTAGCTGACAGCTGGCCACTAGGTGGTCATCCTAGCTGATGGGCAGCGAGGGCTGAAGACAGAGGGCCTCTGCTGAGGCAGAGGGCTGAAGGCTCTCAGTTCCAGTCCAATCCAGGCGAAAGAGATTAATAGACCCAGCCAGGCCACGTAGCTCACACCTGTCATCCTACCCAGGAGGCTGAGATCTGAGGATCGCGGTTCAAAGCCAGCCCAGGCAGGAAAGGCCATGAGACTCCTATCTCCAATAACCCACCAGAAAACCAGAAGTGGCGCTGTGGCTCAAGTGGTAGAGCGCTCGCCTTGAGCTGAAGAGCTGAGGGACAGCGCCCAGGCCCAGAGTTCAAGCCCCACGACCGACCAAAAAAAAAAGAGATCTGGGGATAAAGGAGCCGCCCCGCAAGGCCCGGAGTTCCAACCCACGAGCGCCACCTTTGCGCTGATTTGCTATCTGTATCCCACAGAGCCCGCACGCGGGGCAGAGGTCAGAGCCAGGGTCAATGTCTAATCCCGCCCCCCCGGGAGGCGCCGCGGACTCTGACTTCCGCCTCCCGCAGTCGCGCAAACAGCGGCCCACGGGCCCACAGCCGGTTGTGGAAACCCGGCTGTCAACCAGACCCAAGAGCGCGGTGCTTGGCCAGGATTGGGCAGCTCAGTGTAGTGGGCGGGGCCGCTCTCCGGGACGTCGCTCTACCATTGGCTGGTACTGCCGGCAGGAGTGTGGCGGCGGCTATCTATGGGTGAGTGCAGAAAGAGGCGGGGAAATAAGGTCAAGGCGTCAGTAGTGCTTGCGTGATGAATCGCTAAGCGATTGGTCGGCCCGTCCAGGAGGCGTGTCCCAGTCCGGGCACCGTGGAGTTCCGCGATGGTCGGCGATTGGTTGATTTGGTTCTGGGACGGGCGGGAGAACGGCCCGTGGTTGGTCAGCGCCGGTGCGTGTGGCCGGTCTCGCTCGCGGCGGAGACTCGCGATTGGCCGGGCCGGGGCGCGGCGTCACTCGGGCTCCCCGGCCGGCGGCGATGGCGCAGGGCGGCTGGCGCTGGGTGCGCGGGCTGTGGCTCGCGGGGCGGCCCCTGTTCCAGGGTCGCGCGCTGCTGCTGACCAACACGCTGGGCTGCGGCGCGCTCATGGCGGCCGGCGACGGCGCTCGTCAGGCCTGGGAGATCCGCGTCCGGCCGGGGCAGAGGGTCGACCCGTGGCGCTCAGGTGAGCACGGCTCGCCGCCTCCCGGGCACCCCGGGGGCCTTAGATCCGGGAGAACCCCGGCGCGGGGCGCAGGAGCGGGGGACGCGGGCGGGCCGGGGCGGGGGACCGCCCGCCTGGCCGGCCCTCACGCACTGCGCCCTCAGCCCGCATGTTTGCGGTGGGCTGCAGCATGGGCCCCTGCCTGCACTACTGGTACCTGTGGCTGGACCGCGTCCTCCCCGCCGCCGGCCTGCGCGGCCTCCCCAACGTCCTCAAGAAGGTGCTGGTGGACCAGCTGGTCGCCTCTCCCCTGCTGGGCGCCTGGTACTTTCTGGGTAAGGAGCGCCCCGGACCCGGGGCTCTGCCTCTCCTGGCGGGGTGGGAGGCCTCCGGGGCCGGGGGCCGGAGCCAACCGGGACGCCGGGCGGAATCCGCGGCCTGGGGGGGCACGATGGGGACTGACGGACGCGAGGCCACGGGGCCTGGGCGCGAAGCGAGGCGGAGCTGGGCGGGCAGAGCCGCTCACCTCACCCGGTGAAGGAGGAGGGACACGGTTTCCAGCGGGGCGACTCGGTGTTAACGTCCTTCTAACGCCCCTGACCGCGCCGTTCCCGCTCCCCTCGGCCCGGACCCCGGTCCCTGGGCGGTCCAACCGCCCCTACTCCTACCCTTACTCTTGGTTTCCTTCCCAGGCATCGGCTGCCTGGAGGGCCAGACTCTGGAGGAGAGCCACCGGGAGCTGAGGGATAAGTTCTGGGAGTTCTACAAGGTGGGAGTCCCGCCCCCAAGGCCCCGCCCACTGCCGCCCCGCCACTCCCCTCCCACTGTCCTCACAGGTGCTCCGCCCATTTTAAGCCCAGTTCCCTCCCACCAGCAGAGCCACGCCCCTCTGAGCTGCGGGTCCCGCCCCGATGCGCTGGCCACGCCCCCAGCGCTGGCAGCCCCGCCCCGAGGGGCCGTCCCCTCTCTCCTCCCCTCCCTCCTCACCCTCCGCCCTGCTGTGTCCCGCAGGCCGACTGGTGCGTGTGGCCCGCCGCACAGCTGGTGAACTTTCTCTTCGTGCCGCCCCAGTTCCGGGTCACCTACATCAACTGCCTGACGCTGGGCTGGGACACGTACTTGTCCTACCTGAAGTACCGGGTGAGCGTGCGGGCCGCCCGCTGGGGCGGAGGGCGCCTTCCCGGCAGAGGTGCAGCCCGCCCCGACCCCGCGGGGCGCGTGGGGGGCGCGGGGCAGGCGGGCGCCGCCGCCAGGCCCCTGACCCGCCCTCTTGTGCGCCCAGATCCCCGGGCCCCTGACGCCCCCCGGCTGCATGGCCCTGGACTCGCGCGCAGACTGAGCCTCCCGGCTGCTGCTCGGACCCGCCCGGAGCCCCGACCAGGACGGGGTTCTGCGCCGCCTCCGGGCCGCACCAGCGTCCAACACGTCGAGGTTTGCATGGAGTCCGTGACCGCGACATGGCCGGCCCAGACGCGGGCGGACTGCATGGCCGCCCCAGCCCACCCTGGGTAGGACCAAAGCAAGGGGAAGCCGCCCCGAGCACCCCAAGCTCTGGACCAGGCAGGGCAGCCTCCGGCCTGGCGCCGCTGCAGACTGTGGGACAGCCATTAAATGCTCTGATTCCGAATCCTGTGTGGGGAGAGCGATGGGGGCGGGACCTCTGGAGTGGCAGCAGGCGGAGCCACTCGGAGTGGCCAGGGGGTGGGGCCCGGCCCCGTGGAGCGGCAGTGGGCGGAGCCGCTGCAGTGTGGCCATTGGGCAGCCTGGCTGCTCGCGGGGGCGTGGCCCGCCGGTGGGTGTGGCTGCGGGAGGGGGCGGTGCCGAGCACGCACCAGAGCGCCGCGTGGTCCATTCGCTTTATTGGGGTTTCTGTAGTGTCATGACATCTTTAGGGAGCAGGGGCGCACGTTGGACACTCGTGACACCAGAACGGGTTCGGGGAACAGGAAAAAGTGGTGGACAGAGCCCCCCAGCACCCCACGCACCCCAAAAAGGAACCTGGGAGAAGCGCGGCAGGTGGCCTCGCCCGAAGGATCCCGGAGGCCGCCGGCCCGGCCACGCGCCTGTCGCCCTTAGCCGGCCCTGGGTGTCATCCGGCCCCTTCTTCACAACCGACGACTGTGCTGGGGTTAGTAGGAGGGTGAGCAGTGACCACGACACGCCACGGCGGCGGGGTCTTATGTACAACGGGCGGGGCGGGAGCCGGACCCTGGGGACACCGTCATTAAATAAATAAATAGCTACAATAATAAATAAGGGGGGAGCCGGCAGGGGGGGTCCAGCCCGGGGGGCCGGGCCTCAGCAGGCGCAGTCCTGGTGCGGGGGTGCCTGCTGGTCAGTGAGCTGCGGGCCCTGCTTGGCCCCGGTGACCGCGGGGTCTGCAGTGTCCAGGGACTCCGACATCTTCTCGCAGATGACGTCCACCAGGCGCTCGAAGGTCTGCTTCACGTTGATGTTGTCTTTTGCACTTGCCTCAAAGAACTCAAACCCTGTGGTCCAGGGAGGGAGGGGTGGCACCACCGCCCCTCAGCAGGAGCCACCCCACCTGCCCCGGTCAAGGCTCTGACATCTGGCGGGGTCAGCAGTTCTCATCCTCACCCGTCCCGCCGCACCCCAACACGCTCCCCTCTGTACCCAGGAGCCTCAGCACCTGGCTGAGACCTCACTTCTGACCTCTGCACAAAAGCCCCCAAAGTGGGGTGGCTGGTTTTCTGCATGGTGAACTCCTACACATCCATTAAAACCCACCTCAGCTGTGTGGCGGCTGGTTCGCCTGTCTGAATTGGTGCCAAGCGTGGGGCCTCGGCGTGAGTGCTCCCGGTCCCCAGTCTCCCCCTTTCCTCCCCTTAGGGGTCCTGGCTGCCCGGGCGCTCACCGAGGTGGTCGGCCAGCTGGCGGCCGCGCTCTGAGGACACCACCCGCTCCTCCTCCATGTCGCACTTGTTCCCCACCAGCAGCACCTGGGCGTTGTCCCAGGAGTAAGTCTTGATCTGAGTGGACCTGAGGGGCCGGGAATGTGGGGATGGGGGTGAGGGCCGGGACCCGGCCTTGGTGTTGAATGTGAGACCCCCCCCCCCCGCGCGCGCACGTCAGCGCTGCTGGACGTGGCTGGACGGCGCTGGGGCCCGCAGGGCGCGGCCCACCGGCCGGCAGGCTCACCAGTCCTGCACGGCGTTGAAGGACTCCTCGTTGGTGATGTCATACATGAGGATGAAGCCCATGGCGCCGCGGTAGTAGGCGGTAGTGATGGTGCGGTACCTCTCCTGCCCAGCCGTGTCCTGCGGGGGGGCGGGGGGCGAGCTCAGAGTGGAGCCAGGAAGGGGGTTCACCTAGAAGCAGGGAGCCTGTCCATGCGAGCCGCGCTGAGGAGCCTCTGGGGACCAGGCCCGAGGAAACCGCGGGAGCGGCGGAGAGCAAGGGAAACCAGGGCTTAGAGCCCTACATCGGGGGAAGCTGGGCGTGGAGAGGCGCCCTCAGGGAGCTGAGGCTGGAAGGCCGCGAGTTCAAGGCCAGCCAACACTTTTTAAAAAAATGCCGGGCGCCAGTGGCTCCCGCCGGTCATCCTAGCAGCTCAGCAGGCTGAGATCTGAGGATCACAGTCCAAAGCCAGCCCGGGCAGGAAAGTCCGGGAGACTCGGATCTCCAATAAAACACCCGGAAGTGGCGCTGTGGCTCAGGTGGTAGAGCGCCCAGGCCCGGAGTCAAGACCCACGATCCTCAGCAAACAAACCGACATCAGAACCACCTAAGCACGCAGCCGAATCCCCGTCCTCTCGGGAAAGAGAGAGGACGCCAAGAGGAGGGGAGGACAGGGCGCAGGGAGGCCCGGCCTCGCCCCGCGGCGCGCAGGCCCCAGCCCCCGCCCGGGCACGCACCCAGATCTGCAGCTTGATCCTCTTGTCGTTGCGGTAGATGGTCTTCACCTTGAAGTCGATGCCCACGGTGCTCACGAAGGCGGGCGTGAAGGAGTCGTCCGCGTAGCGGAACAGGAAGGACGTCTTGCCCACGCTGCTGTTCCCGATGATGAGGATCTTGAACATGTAGTCGAAGTTCTGGTCCGCAGACTCCTTCTGGCCATAGCGCGCGTCGGTGGCCGAGGCCATCTGGGGGGCGGGGCGCGCGTGAGGGCGGGGCGCCCCGCAGGGGGTCGGGGAGGGGCTCCCGCCCTCGCCTCCGAAGCTGCATCACGTGACCCCGGCTGGGCAGGCCCCCAGCCCACGTGCCCGGAGAGCACACTCGCGTGCATGGGCCCACACGCGTGAGTGTGCACACTGGCGCCTTCACGCAATTTCTAAGTGAGGGGCAGGGACCCCGCGCGTGGGCTGCTGTTGCCCCGCGGAAATGAGGACTCGCTGGGGCTTCCGTGCGCGCGCAGTACGCGTGCATTCCACCCGCAGCCCATTACATGCATATGGGCTACATACACACGCGCGCGCGCGCACAGCGCGTCCCCGCGCCGGGCCCCGCGCGCACGGCGTCTGCGCACGTCTGCCCGCCGCCGGGCCCGCGCGCCCCCGGATCTAGACCCCCGGCGCCCCCGCAGTGTCCGCGCGGCCCCGCGGATGGCGGGGCGGGCAAGCGCGCACACGCGTGTGCACAGCGCACGCGCACGCAGGAGCCCCGCGCGCGCCGCTTCCCCGCAAGGCACGGGCTCCCCTCCCCCTCCGCCGCAGAGCGGAGCCCGCGGGGTGCGGGGAGCCGCGGATCAGCGCACGAGCGGGCGGGGGGCGCCCCGGACGCGGCCCTTCGCACCCCGCGGCCTCCGCGCCCTTCGCCCCCGCGGCCCGCGGGCCCCCGCGCCCCGGCCCGCCGGCCCCCGCCCCCTCCAGCCTATCAGTCAAATGAAGGTTATGCAGGTGCCCGCAGCCTGCGCCCCCCGCGTCGCCCGGCGCTCACCTTGCCCTGCTCGGATGCGGCGGTAGCGCGGGGCGGCGGCGGGGCGAGGACCTCGGCGAGCGGACGCGGGGCTGCGCGGCGGCGGCGGCGGCGGCGGCTCGGGCCCCTGCAGTCCGCGGTGACGTCCTGCAATGAGCGGGGCGGGGCCTCACATGCAAATACAGATGTGACGCGCGCGGGGGCGGGCCCGCTCCGGAAGATGGGCCACAGACGCGCTCCCAGGCCTAGGGGCGAGGCTTCAGAGCAGATTGACGCGCTGGGCAGGCGGGGCCATATGGGCGCATCCAATAGTATTGGGGGAGGCTTCCCCGCTCGGGGAGGCGGGGCCGCCCGTCGCCGGTTCACTGGCCTCAACGCTCGAGCGGCGGGCCACTCAGCCAATCAGCGCCGTCATCCTGGCCAATCAGGGCTTTGAGGAGTGTGAGAGGCGGGGAGCCTGAGCCCAAGGCTAAGCCCGGCTTTGCGGGGTCCTGGCCGGTCCCAGCCAGCCCTGGCTCCGGCCTGTGGGCCGCTCGCTCCCTCCTCTACCGCCGGTACGGCCTGAATCCCCCGAATACGCCCCGCTTTCCGAGACGAGGAGCTGTGGTCGGAGAGCTGCTTTATGCTCCCCCCGCCCCCAGGTTATAGTGCTAAAATGTTTAATTGAGGGACAAACAGGAGGGGTCGGGGACCCCCGGCCAATTAGCGAGGAGTCACGCCCCGGGGGCGTGGCTTGGAGGGCCCCCCTCCCCCGCTTTCCAAGTTGCGGGGATACTGACGGGCGCCTCCTCCCCGCCCTCCCTGCTTCCGGCCAAGAAGGGGCTGACGGCGCTGGGCGCCTCCCTCCCCTGCGCCCCTGGCCGGGAAGGGCGAAGTGGGGGTGCAGAAGAACCGGGGAGACGGGAGAGGCCGCCGAGCCCTCCTCCAGGAGGAGGAGGGTGGGGGCCTCACACCGGGGGCCGCCACGCAGGACAGGCCTGGGGAGTCCCTCCAGTCCGAGCTGGGGGCGGAGAGCGGGGACGGCCGCCCGGCCCCCCGACCTCCCGGCCCCCCGGACCCCGGACCCCCGCACGGAGCCGCTTATACAAAGCTCTCCATCGCGGAGGCGCCGAGCCCGGAATAGCCCGCGGGGCCCGGGCGTGCCAAGGCCTCTCCCGGCCCCGGCTAGCAAAGGCCCCGAGCCCCTGCCGAGGGTCGGGAAATTCAGAAATAAGAAACCCGACGCGAGCCTCTGCCCGCAGCCCCCGAGATCCTCGGACCGCGGTTCAAAGCCAGCCCGGGCAGGAACGTCCGAGACGCTGACGGCTCTTTAGCCAGGGAAAAGCCGCCCTGGAGCTGTGGCTCAAGTGGTAGAGCGCCGGCCCGGGCCTGGCACACGCACACGCACGCGCGCGCCCGCCTGTGGCCTCTCCAGTCGGGAAGGGAACCCTGCCAGCTCAAGACCTGGACGCCCCGAACGGCCTGGGTGACACGTAGCGAGGCCCCGGTGGACGCGCACAGCCGCTGCTGGGCGCGGTGCCCGCGGCAGGGGGGCACCGAGGGTCCCAGGCTGGCGTCGGGCGCCCCAGAGCCCCACATTTAACCACGGACCCCCCCCCCGTCCCCAGCCAGCGGGGCCGCCAGCGCTTCCCCCTCCGGACACCAGGGGGCGCGGCTGCGGCACATTTGCCTGGCGCGGCAACCAGCGCTCCGTGCCTCAGTTTCCCTTCCGTGACCCGGGCTGGAACTGCTTTTCTCCACCGGTGGGGTTGCACTGCGCAGCTCTGCGAGTCCCGGCACGGAGTCGCAGCCGGCTCCTTCTCACGCCCATTGGCTCTGACCAGGCTGAGCCGGCCTGGCCCGGCCTGGTCCGGCCCGGTTCCCGCCGGGCTCCTGCCTCCTGCCGGCGCCCGCCCCCCGCCCGGCTAGCTGCTTTGGATTCAGCCCCAGAGCACGGCTCACGGCGCCCACGTGGCCCACCCGTCCCACAGTGGGGAAACTGAGTCCCGGACAGCAGTGGGAGGCGCCATGTGCGTGGTTTCACACGTGGGGGTTTGCTGGGGCGGGCGGGCACGTGGGGGTGGCCTGGGCAGGTCACAGGGGGCCCCAGAACCAGCCCCACCCCCAGTTCCAGGCCCTGCAATGTCGTTCCTGCAGAGCCCTCTCCAAATGACCCCGCCTCGAAGCCGGTGCCCACACGGCCGTGGGTCGCGCAGTGGCCGCCCAGCTGAAGGCCAGGGTCAAGCCAGGGCTTGTGGTGCTGGCTTGGCTTCTCCCCTCCCTGCCTGACCCTGCTGGCTAGGCCTCGTCACCCCGGGACCTGGGACTCCACAGAGGCCTGCGCTTGTCACGCACGGGGCCGAAGCCAGGTCCGCCGCCGTCCCACGGGAGAACCCGGCCGTCACACGGTCACCCTGCGGTCAGTCCACCGGCCGGGTGCCGGCCAGGACCAACTCCCTTAACAGGTGGGGAAACTGAGGTCCAGAGCCCTTTGTCCAGTCTTCAAGCTCCGTGGACAGCAGTTGCATCATAGGGCTGTGACAGAGCCGCAGCCGGAGGACACCAGCCAGCCACGCAACCCACGGGTCCGGAGGAGCGCGGGCCTGGCCGCAGGGCCTGGAGCTGAGGGGACCGGATGGTGGGCCCCGCCCAGCGCGCTGAGCCCCGCCCAGGCTGTTGGCTCCGCCCTTGCCCGGATCCAGTTACTCATCTGGCCCCGCCCGTGCTCTAGACCCCGCCCACAGTGTCAGTTCCGCCCAGCTCAGGACCCGCCCATCTATTTGGGCCATAGTCCTAAGCACCTCCTCTCTGCCCGCGACACAGGCCACGCCCCCAGCACGGGCCACGCCCACTTGGCATCGCCCGGGTTCTAGACCCCGCCCTCTCGCGGCAGGGCGGAGACATGGGCGTGGCATCACGCAGGGGCGGGCCGGGGAACCCTGGGCTGCGCAGCGCCGGCGTGCGCAGGTGGAGGGGATCTATACCATCCCGGTGCCGTCGCCCTCCCAGCGGGGTACAGCCCGGCCCGGCTCCCGCCTCTCCCAGTGCGCCTAGGGTCGAACAGAGAAACTGAGGCCTGCGGCGCTGGGCTCCACCTGGGCTGTTTGCCCTCCAGCCCAAGCTAAGCCGCTCCGGCAAGGTGGGCGCCGCTGTGTTCTGACCATAAACTGAGGCATGGACGCAGCGACCCGCCCGGACGCAGCCATCCCTCTCCGGTCCCCGCACCTGGGGGTCCTGGGGCCCCGGATTGGGGGGCGCTGGGCTGGGAAGGGCCTGGGGACGTGTCCCAAGCCGCCAGCCATGCTTGAGGGGCGCGCGGCCCCCGGGGAAACTGAGGCCTGGCGGCCTCATGGGCGTCCCGTGTCCCTCGCCCCGAGAGCGCGCCGCGCCATTGCTTTCCAGGCAGACGCCTGACCCGGCCCTGACCCGGCCCTGGGTCATGGGGCTGCTCCTGCGGGGTGTCTGCTCGAGTCAGGGAGGGGCCGGGTTTGGGGTGAGGATGGGAAACGGGGTCATTTCATGGTGTCCAGATTGAGCCTCGGCCCTCGAGGGTAGGGACGACGGGGAGGACTTGCCTCACTGTCCCTGCCCATGGCCTGTCCATCCCTGGCTCTGAGCTCCGTCCTGCTCCCGGAGCTCACTCTGCGTCCAGCACCACAGACCAATGACCACAGCGGCCACACCAGGCCCCACGGCCCTGCTGCCAGCCCCCCATGCCAGCCTCTGTCCCCTGCTGGCCAAGCCCCAAACTGCAGCTGCGAGCCACGGACCCCAGGGCCCCAAGCCTCAGTACTCTCGCCTCAGTACTCCCTAATCCGAATCGAGATCATTGGGGGGGACTGGGATGGAGATTGCTCACATGTGCATGCACGTGTGTGCGTGCTGATTCTGGGGCTTGAACGCTGGGCCTGGGCGCTGTCCCTCAGCTCTTCAGCTCAAGGCGCGTGCTCTACCACTTGAGCCACAGCGCCACTTCCAGTTTTCTGGTGATTTATTGGAGATAGGAGTCTCACGGCCTTTCCTGCCCTGGCTGGCTTTGAACCGCGATCCTCAGACCTCAGCCTCCTGAGCTCGGCTTCAGACGTGGGCTTCAGGCACTCTGGGATGGTGGTTATTCATCCTGGCTGCCCCTACTTGGTCCTGGCAAGGCTGCCCTGTGGCTTCTGACCTCTGGAGACTAGGGGTGTCTGTGGCGTCACAGGCCCTGGGGTCCGGGGCTGGAAGCTGGGGGGTGTCTGGCCGGCGGGGAGGGGGGGGGTCCGGGGCCCGACGGCCCCAGCACAACCTCGTCGTGGTCACAGAGGCACGGATGGGACTCAGGCTGAGGATGTTTTTATTCATCCGATGCGGGGAGCCAGGCCGGAGGCCTAGACCCCGGGCCAGCGTGCGGCGCGGGCCGGGGGGCGTCCAGGGGCCTCCCA